CCCTCTCTTTGGTCAAGTTAACCTGATTCTTTTCAGCCAAGAGAAAGCATCAACCAGAAAAGTGCCCACCCTTGGCTGCTACCTCTCATGAGAATTGAGAGATGTAGGTTTAAATCTTCACAGGCTTAAGAGGGCATTGAACACAACTCCCATTTCCTGGGTAAATGGGTAACCACTGCCATACTGGATTACGGGAACATTCTTTGCCTCCAGCTATAACAGCAGGAAATGACCTTATACTTTTCAAAGGTAAGGGCCTAGGGGAGAGTTCTGTCTCAGGAGAGCCGTGAATACCAGATGGAAAGAAGTGCCTCCTGGTAGAGCCAAGACAGGCATCTAAGCCTCAGAAGGAGCTAGGATTTGAGACATACCTTTGTTCTTAGCTCTTATCTGCTGATGGTCCCCCACACAAACTAGTAGTTTTGTGGATCTCACTGAGAGGTACCTACTTGTCTCATTGCAATGGATAGGGAGGGACTCTGGGTATCCAGCAGGGAAGTTACACACAGAATTTTCCTGCAATGTGAAAATGAGGCATTATAGTGCTTGGCACTGTGACATGTATGTCCAATTTTGGATCTCACCCTTAGCACAAGGATACAAGGTGCAGGGAAACTTAAGGAAACTGATCACCCTACAGAATTGGGCCCTGAATTTTATCTTTCTAAACTAAACTTTTACTCCAATTTTAGGTGGTCTCATGCTGTTGAAACTTCAGTAAACTTGCATGTAATAATGATTGAAAGGCATAATAATAATAATTTAATTAAATAACCCACTCTGATAGGTCGGGTTTTACCTGGCTGGGCATCCATGCGTTTTTAAAATATTGTATCCAAATTGGGACAAATTGGGACCTTCAATGTTGTGGGGCCAATCAAATGCTCAAAATACCTTTTCTTTAAGAAATTTACCGGAGAAAGAACATATTCTGTTTAGATACACTGTTACATTTACCCCTTGGTGTTACACAGAGCCCAGCAGACTGCTAGCACGAATGATGTAAAATTTTAAGAACTTAAGCTTACATTAAAGCTTAATATGTTAAGTATATCCATTAAATGTTGTGCTACTTTCTTGGTTTTAGGATTCACACAGATTAATGTGTACATGGTGGCAAGGTAATTATGGACTCTGAAGCATCATTTCACGCATGCACTGGGAGCCACATTAAGTTATGCAGAGATGCATACACATTTCGTTTGAAACAGCTCAGTTTGCTGCTCTACATCAAAGCAATGTGTGTAGCAAGTCATAGCTAGCGAACCAACCACCTGTTTCTCCTGTTAAGTGAGTATATTTTGCATGTGAAGAGTTCCCTGCATATAACTTCCCTACTAATGTATAACTTACCATGACCATCAGTGGGAGCATACAAACAACAAGCTCTTCCTCTTAATGATAGTTCAAAGGGTTCTATACATAGCAGGGTTAGGGACAGATGATATTTCTGGACACTAAATGGGATAGGTATAGTATAGCATAGTATAACTATAGAGTAGTATTGCAAGTATAAAACACTAGATCTTATTGAATACTTAGATTTAAGTTACATTAATAGTGAAACAAGAAGACAGCAACCTTAGGCTTCATATATAATAGCTGTTTAAATGTTGTGTATTTAAATACACAGATTCACACTGAATTGCTTGAATAGAATATAGAACTCCATTCCGTTGAAAGAGTAACTCACAGGAGAGCTTTACTCACAAACTCCACTGGACTGTCAGAGATTTGGTTAACCAGAGCACTCTTCCAGATCTAGGAAAGACAAAAACCAAAAACAAGTATGGAATCTGTATATCTCCAGGGAACTACAGGCCAGTCAGCTTTACCTCAGTCTCTGGAAAAATCATGGAGCAGATCCTCAAAGAATCCATTTCTAAGCACTTGGAGAAGATGGTGATTAGCATGGATTCACCAAGGACAAGTCATGTCTGACCAACCTGATTGCCTTCTACGATGAGATGACTGGCTTTGTGGATGGGGGGAGACCTATGGATGTGGTGTACCTTGATTTTAGCTAGGCTTTTGCTATAGTCTCCCACAACATTTCTCAGGCAAGCTATGGAAGGAGGGGCTGGATGAATGGACTGTTAGGTGGATAGAAAACTGGCTCAAGCTTCAGGCTCAGAGGGTTGTATTCAATGGCTCGATGTCTAGTTGGCAGTCAGTATCAAGTGGAGTTCCGCAGGGGCTGGTTTTGTTCAGTGTCTTCATGAATGACCTAGAAGATGGCATAGAGTGCACCCTCAGCAAGTTTGCAGATGACACCAAGCTGGGGGAGCAGTAGACATGCTGGAGGGTAGGGCTAGGATTCAGAATGACCTAGACAAATTGGAGGATTGGGCCAAAAGGAATCTCATGAGGTTCAACAAGGATAAGTGCAAAGTCCTGCACTTAAGAGGGAACAATCCCATGCACCAGTACAGACTGGGCATCAGCTCTGCAGAAAAGGACCTGGGGGTTACAGCAGACAAGAAACTGAATATGAGCCAGCCCTTGTTGTAAAGAAGGCTAATGGCATACTGGGCTGCATGGGTAGGTGTATTGCCAGTAGGTCAAGGGAAGTAATTATTCCCCTCTATTCAGCACTGGTGAGGCCACACCTGGAGTACTGTGCCCAGTTTTGGGCCCCCCGCTACAGAAAGGATGTGGAGAAATTGGAGGGAGTCCAGCGAGGGCAGCAAAAATGGTTTGGGGACTGGAGCACATGACTTCTGAGGAGAGGCTGAGGGACGGCAGTGGTGGCAGATGACAGAACAAGGAGTAACGGTCTGAAGTTGCAGCAAGGGAAGTTTAGGAAGAATTAGGAAGAATTTTCTCATAAGGAGGGTAATTAAAACACTGGAAAAGGTTACCCAGAGAAGTGGTTTCTGTCCTTGGATGTTTTTAAGACCAACCTAGACAAAACTTTGGCTGGGATGATCTAGTTGGGCAGATGGTCCTGCTTTGAGCAGAGGGATTTGGGAGCATGTGCTATTAGGGAAATGAGCAAAAGCAACAATATGGGAATAAAGAGAGAAATGGGGGAAAGGATCAGGAGGAAGAAAGAGGGGAAAACAGACTGAAATAAAAGTAATACAAAAATGGGAATGATAAATAGGGGGGAAGAAATGGTGGAGAAAAGTGAGGGGAGAGGACTTGTAATGAAGCATAGAAGAAAGAGAGGAGCAGAAAGAGAGAAAATAGAACTGAATATAAGATGAATAAAAGAGTGAGAGAAAGAGAAGATGTGTAACAGAAAAAATAGAGAATAGAGATCGTCAAACTTTTCTCATTTTCTATTAACCTTTGAACCAAACTTCAGATTCTAAAAAGGAAAGAAAAAGTAATTTAGGGAACTAATGGAGAGGTTTTTAAAAATACTCATTTACCACATTGTTCTTCTATATCAAAGAAGGGGAAGAGAGAAAAGGCCTGTCACTATCAAGGTCTTTGTTTCTCTAGTCAGAAGAGTAGCAGATCAATTGGATGAGTTGTAATGTAATTAAGTACACAGCCAGAGGTAAATATTACATTTGTAGCATGTAATATTAGTTACATAAGTAACAAAGTACTCAACAAAGCTCTGTGGTCTTCTCTTCCAGGACCACTCTAATTCACTAACTATTAGAACCACAATTTAGATTAACAAGCTTAACTTCTAGCAGCTGGAAAATTCAAGATGTTGTGAAGAAAGAAGTTTAGTAGATGGGTGTCCTGACTGGAACAAGTTTGCCTTCATGTAATTGGATACCATAAACCCTCCAACTAATATCACTTTTCCTGCTGATGCAACTCTGTCGTATTGAATGTCTTGAATTGTTAGAATTTATTTTGGGATGGGGGGGGGAAGAAGTTGATTCACCAAACTACTTAAAAACAACACCAGAGATTTAATGGTGGTTTATGGTTGCTACTCTAGTCCTCGCTATTATTTTTGGCTATAGGAAACGAGTAGAAATTCCTTATGCTAGAGGCTACAATCTGTATGTAAACCAACAGTTGTTTTTTACTTACATGACTTGACATTACTTTTACATTCATGTTTATATGAAGGGTGCACTGTAAGGAGAGAATTCATGGGAAAGATAGGAAACCATGACGATATTTATTTGACATAAGAGGAAGCGTTCAGCTATAACATTTATACTGGTGTCTCTTTCCTCAGGGACCCTTTAAAATGTTGAACAAACACCATACTTTTGTAGGGTGGCTGCTGTAGTTCTTCGTAGAGTTTTCTAAGCCTTCTGCACATTTCTGGAACTGCATGTCCACCAGAGTTGTGGTACCTGGTGGTGACACAGTGACTTGAAAAGTGGGGGAGGAGATTCAACTGTTGGCTTGAGACTGGGCACAGTATAACAAAGACAACTTTTCACTCCAAAGTCACTGGTTCTGGTTGTTACATTACAATGACTCTTAATTATTTTTTTTATATGGGTTGGCGAGCTCAATTCAGTCCTTAGCGGACAGATTTCTTCATTATCACAGTTTACATTACTTGGTACTCTCAGTACAGAGCCCAAGGACTACGCAGACATGGAAACCGAACCAGGTACTTTACATGCACTCACTCCAGCTCAGGTTTGAAGCACAAGGGTGTAGGTGGCATAAGGAAGCTTGCATTGTCCCAGCCCTTGAAGAACCTGGTCTTCAGCTAAAGCGTGATTTTTCCCCCCATCCCTTTCCCCCACCATAATTCTTCCATCTAATCCAAATTCATTCATACTGGCTATCACTGAAAAAACAGAGTATAATGTAATATTATTAACTTAATCACGATGTTGTAGGGACAGCAAGAGGCTGGGGAAAACCAACTGTTGTTTTGATCTTTGTCCAGAAAAAGTTAAAAAACAAGGACATGTTTTGATGTCCAGAACAACTTTCAAATTGTGAACTTAGGGCATATATGAAATGTCCTTGTTTTCACTCCATGTTGGTAATGTAGATGTTTATTTCTCTGCTTTCTTCTCCTCTTCTCCCTCCATTTATCACCTATCCCATGATCACCGAAGGAAACCACTGAGAAAAGAAGAGAATGGAACAAATCGAGCTGAATATGCAATGACCTCCTCCCAAAACAACAAAACAGTTGATAATAATGCAGTTGTATAATCTCTGAGACCCACCCCCCCACAATGCTGGAGGTGTTAAACTTTCAAAGCACACGCGCAAGTATGCAAGGTGGGTGAAATAAGGAAATGAAAGGCACTCTGTGGCCAAGGACTTCATTTCAGATATAGTGCACGCATCAGTTATTCAGAGAAGAAAAAGAGACTGCTCTTCAGGCTTGCTGATTGTCAAAGGGAAGATAAACTTGCCAATCAGGGTTATCCAGAGAAAAGACCTCACAAAGGCATAATCATTGCATGCTGCAGCTGTTGAAAGCAACATCACGATGCCTCCAGGTTCCTCCTCTTCTTTTTTTTCCTCTTTATTTTTGATTGACTGTCCACAAAGAGCTGCTTAAGTAGAATCCTTTGATGTGAAGGTGATCTGCCAGAGTGGCAGCAACTTATTATAAATGGGTCTGAGGTTCAGAGAGTGGAAGTCACCACCTGCATGCTTCTCTGGCTTGCACAGCATTTTCATTTACAAGCTCCCAGCTTTGTATGCTTAAATAACAATTATTATTTTGTTATGAAAAAGGGAAAAAGGGGTTTGTTAATCCACCAAGCAACCAAAAACTGCATGAACTTGTGAATTAACCCAGGAAATAAATCTGCAGTCTGGTGACTATGCAATTTCCATGGCTGAAGACTTTTCAGGCAAAAGAAATCTAAGTAGGATCATTAGTGATTAGCATTGCTAATGAAAGATAGAGGTAATATTTAAAAGGTGCTTTGAACACTGTTATTTCATAATCAGCCTCTTTTTTTACTGCATAGCTTTTATTTCTTAGCTTTACAAAAAGTTCTAGATCTCTTGTCCTCTGTGAAGTTCTGCACATTTACTGTATTTGCACCACACAGATCTGTCAGAGAATCCCTCTAGAAAGGATTTTGTTTACATTTTGGAGTGAATATATGGGCTCAATTGTGATAAAAGGACTATCAGCAG